GATAGTGGTTGCTTTCCACCCAGATCAGGATTTGAAAGGCCCGACTGGTTTGTAAGTCTTTCCCCTTTCATTGGAAACGACTTCATTTGCCCCCCCCCAACCCCAAGTTCTCAGCCTCTCTTCCAGGAACCGTGACGTTCGCGCTGGCGTGACCAGTTCCTCTTTCGGCGCGCAGCCACCGCGTCCCAGTTCCAGGCAGCGCCCTCCGTGGCCAGCCGTCGCTCGGCCTTTGTCTCGCCGCCTTCCCGAGTCACCAGAGCGTCTCTCGCCTAAACTCGCAGGGGGAGGGGGGCAGGGGGAAGGTCTCATTCGGGCTCCCCGCGCCACCATCAGCCTCCCGCCGTCCTAACCGCCAAAGTCCCGCCACCGAGGAGACAGGCGGTATTGAGCTCCTCTGCCCAGAGAGGGGCTTCCGCAGGCTCCGCTTCTCCGCAGGGAGAAGTTTGCAGCTACGAGTCCCTGGCGGGGGCGCTTTAGAAGGCTACCACGGCCCTCACCATTATGCTCAGCACGCCGTCGCCTTGCCTGCAGTTCGCTTTGGGCTCCTCGGCGCCTTTGGCCGGCGGAGGCTGGAGGATCAAGCTAGAGAACCGGTCCTGCAGGATTCGGGCCAAGCTCGGAAAGGGCCCTTCTTGCCGCTGGGGCTGCCGCTCGCCTTCCTCCTCCGCCAATTTCGCTTTCTTGCTAGGCACCAGGCCGGCTTCGGCGGCGCCAATCTTGCCTAGGCTGCTGCTGCGGCGCTTGCGGCTCGGCTTCCTGCTGACTGGCAGAGGCCCCGAGGCGTCCCGGCTCCAAGCCGTCTGGGTCAAGGAATGCGCGGGCAAACTGCTGCCGGGCTCCTCCTGGGTTTCCATAGGTTCCGGATCCAGGCTGCCGCAGGGCTGTGGCGTGGGTGGAGGCGCCTCCTGTTGGGCTGGGGGGAACAGGATTGCCGGAGGACCCTCCAGATGCTGCGGGCTGGGCGCCGTTCCTTGTAAGTCCAGGTGCGGCTGCGGCCCAGGAAAATTTTCCACACTTCCTCCGCCCATCTCGTCCTCTTCCTCTAGCTTGGCGGAGAGGTAGAGGTCGCGGGCGTTCCTCATCACGAGGGAGAGCTGTAGGCTGCGATGGAGTCGGAGGCCGCCGCGTTGCATGCGCGAGTGATACATCTTCCACACCGACATCGTCATAATACGCTGCGCTTCTTTCTGCACCTCCATGTTGGCTTCCCTCTGGACCCTCTGAAGCTCTACTTACGAGTCGGAAGACAAACACCTAGGCTTCCACCCCCTCCAAAAGCGAAAGTGGCGCGCCTCCGGCTGTTTCGTCCCAGCAGACACCTCCCAGACAGCCCGCCGCCGAGACGTCCGTTCCGACTAAACGGGGCCGCGCCCAGCGCGCTGCTTTTTATACGCCCGGTGATCTCAGCGCGCCCGGGCCGCCTCCGCCCACTCAGCGAGCCGCATCCGGCCTTGTATTGCGCGCCACTGGCCGCCCTTCCCGAAAGGGGGAAGGGCAGGCGGAAATGTCAGGGCGGGAGAAGAAAAGAGCAAATGGTGGTGTCGCCAGGAGACAAGGCTTGCGGACGGCGCCTTCGCCTGCTAAGGAAAGAACTGGAAGTTGGGCTCAACGCTGAAGTGGCGTCCGTCAGTTCAGCGAAAATACTAGATCGTGCTAGGTTGTGTAAGCGGAGTGCGCAAGCAGTGGCTAGCTGCAGATTCCTTAGCTAATTGGTTTCAGAAAAAATGTGTTCGTTTCCTTAGGAATGGAATACATTTTACGAATTCTGAATGAGATCTGATTGAGTGCAAGATTTACTCTGGGAAATGACGGAGGTTGTTGAACTCTATCAACCTCAGACATCATGTGCAACGTGAAGAATTTGGAAAGCTGTAGTTCACTGCCTGAAGGCCACGTGCTCCCACTCACTGGGAAATAGTTAAATCAATGAGATTCGCTTCCATGCACGTTTAAGGCTGGAGAAGGCTTACGCACACTGTTATTGTTAGATTCAGTGATTGGCAACTGACAAAGTGCAGCTGAGGCAAAGCAGCAAATAATATTCGTTCTAAATAGAACCCAAACACAGCCAGTTATTTTGGCATAAAAGACAATCCATGTTATGACTTGATTTTGGCGTGTTGTAAAATGCAATGATGGCATTTTCAATGAAGCATGGATTAGGAAGATTTGTGAACAGATGTTCTTACTAAGTCAGGCCTAAATTCCAACCTACTTGAAATAAGAGTGACATAAAACTTGTAACTATTCAGAAGCTCATTATGGAAACAAGTTATCACTAACATGATACATTGTTATAAATTTAAAACTATTAAAACTAGCAGATCTGATCTGCAAAAATCCAATTGTCCAGTAGATATCAGATACCAATTTTTTTAAACTCATTTCCATTTGTTGGTTCCCCCCCCCCCAGCCCTAATATATCCAAACTGGTTGCACCAGTACAGCTAATGTGGTTTCTTAGTACAATTCTGGCTATAGCCTTTAAAATAATATAGATTGGTACCTCAACAGAACCTACAGAATACAGCAAAAGGCAAAAGATTGACTTACTGAGTTTTAATTTAATTTACAGAAGTGTTTAAAACTTTGTTACATCAAATACAGAAGTTTTGCATTGTGGTTGCATGCTGGTACTTGCAATCTTCATATTTCACATGCTGATTAAACCTCCAGACTGTAGCCATGACAAAGATGTTGAATAGGAAGGGTATTCAATTTTTTGTACTATCAGCAAAATTAAAAGAAACTAGAATAAAAAAATTCTGTAATTTCAGGATTAAAGCAATGCAAATGCTTTTTAAAAAATTACACTGTGGGCAATTGTGAGAAAACCAGTGTAAGAAATGTTAGGCTTGCCCTTAAGATACAGTATTTTGAATTCCAGACCTTGTTCTAACTCAACCATAACAATTGTTTTGCTAATTATAAGGAAAGATTAGCTCTGCTCTTTTCTCTATCAAGATAAATATTATATTATACTATATATTATATAGTATATGTATTTTTAAGAATCCATGACTATTTTGTTCTTCTGGGCACTAATGTTTAAAAACTGAGTGTTTATGTTTGCAATCTTAATAGTTTGCAGGTAAAAAGGTTTCAAACAAGATTCAAAGTAAGAGTAAGATGTTGTCCTTGAGGTTACTGATATGGCTCTACAATGCGTAGTCAGGAAAAAAAAATTCAGGCTCATACACTTTCCCCAATAGCAGCACTTGAAAGAAAGGGATTCTTTTCTCCTTAGTTGCATGTTAATTTCAGTTGTTTCTCCCCTACAGCTGCTCCTGTCACTCAAAGTTTTGAAATCCTGTTCTCATCAACCAAACCTATGTAAACCAGACTTGGGAGTAAATTCCCTTGCAGTGTTATTCAATCTGGCAGTTCTGGCCAAAGCGGCCATAGCATTTCATAATTTCCAGTGCAGCCAAACAGAGGCCAGTTCAGGTAAAGCCTTCAATGGAGCTTCACCTCAATTTGCATCCTTATATTTTCTCACATTCACCTGCTTTCTCACATTTGTGGCTGCCTGCTTCTTAATTTTTACCTAATTTTTACTTAATTTTTTCTTAAATTTTACTACACACAGGGTTTTTTTGGGTGGGGGGAATACTCCCATATTCACGCAAATCTTTTACTGGTCAGGAAAACAGATTGCCTTTCAACCAGCCGCTCGATCAGCACAACGGAAGGCCCGCTGGACCCTAGTTTCCTATTCATTTTACAGTATTCCCAGAGCTGGACTCCTCCCTCTATTTAGGTCTCGCCTCCGTGGTTACTGCATGTATTATTGGAGTCTGACGACAAGGCAGGGGGAGGAGCCGGCGCCAAAGCGCTTACGTTTGTAGTAGCAGCCCGCTTCCTGTGGCCATATATGGGTAACGCGACGAAAGGCTCAACGGAGCTTCCGGGCCTTCACCGCGGGAGCCATCTGCCTTGTCAGCCAATCTGTCTACGTATAACAGAGTGCGGTGTAACACAATACTATATGCTTTGGTGGCGTGTGTCCTCCTGGATCCTGCCACTTGAGACTACCTTTACAACTCACGTTTCATACTCTTCTTTTGTAAGCAATTTCTCTTCGTAAATTCCAAGTATGGATATCATACCCTCCAAAGCAAACCTAAGCCATTTGTTTTCCTCTTTTAATCTTCCGAATTCCTGCCACCTTCCCAATACTGTAATTTCATCTGATTATACTCGGGTGTGGCTGTGTAAATCCGTATCACAAAACCCCGACGCGGTCTAAATGTATTACTTCCCTGTTTCACTGAGGCTCAAGTACACCAGGAAGTATTTTACACCGAAATGCATATGGTACAGTTTGCATGCAAGTCACATTTTTGTCTTGATCCAGAAACGGAGGTAAAATAAAATTCTGTATTCGGCTGACATAACTCCGTGGCAAGCTTTGAAGTTTATTAAATTTATACGCCGTCCTTCTCACTACTAGAGCGATTCGGGGCGGCTTAAAAACATATTTAAAAAAACACGAAAAATTTGATGAGGGAAAAGTGATCGTTGTACGCAGACGTCCCTGTACGAAATTATGATCAGATGATCCAGACGTGTAAACTGGAATTTATCGACTATCCAGCAATGTTATTATATTGGGATCAGGGCTTGCCCAAAATTGCTGGGGTGAAAAGAGCAAGAAAATGTTTATACATTTTCGATTTCTGAAAATGTAAATATTAATGAACCTGTTTCCGATGTATCTGCGATAAAACAAAATCTGGAACAATTAAGACAACTGAACAGATTTGGACTTAAAGGGCCTTTGGCACCAATGTAAGAAATCAGCAATTTCTGGTTTTAGCCAGAGTGATTTCTCGTCTGGCAAGGATCTGCCTTTCCTCCTTATTGCGTCATCTCCAAGCTCAGCCCACGAGGTCTTTATATCTCCCTCTTGGGCCCCTCCCAAGACCCAAGCGTTCGCCATGCCAACTATTTAGAGTAGATGGTGGTAAAATTTAAAAATACGACGCAGCGTATCTTCTACACTCCCTTATTTTATGTTAAAATGCAGTCATTTTGCACGTAATTACCAATAAGAACGAGAGAATCACTCTCAAGTTATAAAATAATAAAGCATTACTAAAAACACACAGTCCGCTCTGAAGCCATTTCAGACATTTTGCGGGGAGATTAAGGGCTATTATCCGAGAAGCGTTGGCGTGGAAAACCTGAAAATCTCAAACGAGAGGCGGCTAAAGAATGAATCGGAACCCGGCAAAGAAGGGGGCGCTTGTGCAAGTAAAGCCGCAAAGATTCAGGCCAGCTCTTCCTTCTTTAAGAAATTTGGGAATGCAAGAAAGGAAACCAGAAATAATCTTCCCCCTCAAAAAAACAACAGCAAAACCAACAACCAAAGACTATACAGAAACTAGAAAATTCCAGGGGATATTTCTTGTTTCTTCAACCCGCCTACTGACTTCTCTTCCTTATTTTCGCTCCTCCCTAGAAAAGGCGTGTCCCCTTTCCGTATTAAAAAGAAAAGAAAAAAAAATAAAATAAAAGCCCAAGGGAAATACAGGGTTGTGAAAGAGGGACCCGTAATAAACATGGCTGCCTTGATGGCTTCAGTTCAGTGAGAGGAAAAAAGAGGGAGCATTTTCCTCCATTAGATGTATGGTTTCGCCCATACACGTTTCTCTTGGTCGGCTGGACTTCTGAAGGTGACTTGAAGGGTCAAGGATGTCTCTGCAGGACCCGTTCTTCGCGGTGAAAGGGTGAGTGGCAGTCCCCGGGGGGGGGGGGAATACTTTGAAAACAAAGAAAAAACCCTTCTCTCTGGAAAAAGCGACGAAAAGAGCCGGTTGAAACCACGCGGGGTCGAGAGTGTGGAAAGATCGGGGAATCCGAGAATCTCAAGGCAGAGATGCCAGTTTAGAAATTTCCCCACCTCTGCTGGGAAATCCCATTCAAATAGTAAAACAACCACCGGAACTTCTTAGAAAGAACCTTCCCCGTAAAGCAAAGGAGCTGCCGCGTTGATGTGGGCTTGAAAAAGAAAGCTCAACTTTCAGAAGTAGCGGCCCTCGCGGGCTGTTCCGAAATGCCCCTATTTGGGAACCAGAAGTAAACAAAAATGTTGGTGGACGAAGTCTGAGCGCAAGTTTCTCTAAATGCAGAAACGTGGTCGGGGTAAAGATCGGTCGAGTGTGAATTTTTGCGCGGTACAATATAGGCAACGAGGAGAGTTACTTTGTACAAATCGGAAGTTTCGTTATTTGGTTCCTCGCTATTTCAGACGGTAGCAGCTCTTCGGATTTAGTGAAGCTAAAGATCTGCTTAGATCCGTATTTTAATTTATTAACAGAGATGTCTGAACGCATGTGGTCGGAATAAATTTATGTTGTTAATTGCGAAATCGTGTCCGACCCCATGGACAAGATTCCTCCAGGTCTTCCTGTCCTCTACCATCTTCTGGAGTCCATTTAAGTTCATGCCTACGGCTTCAGTGACTCCATCCAGCCATCTCATTCTCTGTCGTCCCCTTCTTCTATTGCCCTCAATCTTTCCCAGCATTAGGCTCTTCTCCAGTGAATCCTTCCTTCTCATTAGGTGGCCAAAGTACTTGAGTTTCAACTTCAGGATATGGCCTTCTAAAGAGCAGTCGGGGTTGATCTCTTCTAGGACTGACCGGTTTGAATGCCTTGCAGTCCAAGGGACTCGCAGGAGTCTTCTCCAGCACCATAGTTCAAAGGCCTCAATTCTTTGGCGCTCAGCCTTTCTTATGGTCCAACTTTCACAGCCATACATTGCAACTGGGAAAACCATGGCCTGGACTATACGCACTTTTGTTGGCAGGGGGATGTCTCTGCTTTTTAGTATGCTGTCTAGATTTGCCATAGCTTTCCTCCCCAGGAGCAAGCGTCTTTTAATTTCTTGGCTGCACTCCCCATCTGAGGTGATCTTGGAGCCCAGGAAAATAAAATCTATAAATACTCTATATTCGTTTCGTGTTAACTATCTGCTAAAGGCTAAAATTGGCTGTGGGGTGCCATGGTGCAGAAATGCCATTTAGTTCTGTTTTCTCTCACACATAAATGGGAAGGGGATGGTTGTTTTTCGCTCTCCCTTCAGATCTAGATTATGACTCGGTATATATATATATCTCCATTTTTATATCATTCAACTAGATATTTTTCGTTTATGGTCATGTTTTCTTAGGACCTCTGGGCAAAGAAAGGGCACCTTCTTCTAGTGCAACTGCCTTGATCTCTTACAAGTATCAGTTGATCCAAATAAATTGAACACCGACAAATACTGCTGTTTCTTTGAAGAGCTCCTGTACCTGTTCTGCTATAGGAAGTTTGCTTATGCTGAAATGCCTGCCAAGCTGCAGAGATGTAGCAGTTACCTCAATGGAACAAAATCTGTCTTGGGTGACATGCAATCAGACAGAGAAGAACTGCATTCACGATGCATTTTACCTACATACGACCTGTCGATCAAGTCGTCCTACCGAAAGTTAATTTCCTACACTTGTCACCAGCAGGGCAAAACCAAAGGCATTGTAACATACCCTGCCAGGTCACCTTAGGACAGGGGTAGGCAACCTTGACTCTTTTATGACTCCTGAACCGGCCATGCTGGTTCAGGAATTCTGGGAGTTGAAGTCCACGAGTCATAAAAGAGCCAAGGTTGCCTTCCCCTGCTTAGGAGGCTAGGGGGTTGCAAACTTGAAGAGGGGAAACAGCTCCTTCTCCTGGTCTGGGTGCCTTGTGTTGTTTTCTCCATCCCTTACAGCTATGTTTCCTTTGGCTCTCCAGAGAAGTTCAGAAAGCAGTGAATACAGCACGGGGCCTTTATCAACGCCGGAGCCAGCTGCTCCAGGAGACCCAAGTTGTGAACAAGGAAGAGCTGAACTGGACTACAAATGAATTACGCAACACTTTGCGAAGCATTGAGTGGGACTTGGAGGATTTGGAAGAAACAATTTATATCCTTTTGAGCTGAGATTGAAATTAGTGTGAGACAGCTCTCTCAGCGATGTTATTATATCCTCTTTTCTAAACAAACAAACATACTCTCTGCTTCTAAGACAGCCCTAGCAGCATTTTGCTCCTGCACTGCTGCTCTAAATCTGTTTCCTCAGCCTGACAGGGGAACAAACGAGAGGCTGAATTTCTGGTGACTGACCATCAAAGTCAGACCCAGATATTGTAATCCAGTCCTGTCTAGTTTTTAAACTCCCAACCTCCAAGTCCTTTGCACTTAACCCATAATCACGCATTGTGGAATCAAACTCACAAAAGTTTACCATTGCGCCGTCTGAGGTTGCAGCACGACGTTCTTTCGTCACAGAGATGCGGGAGTCGGTCAAGGTGAGGCTTCCTGAAGTGTATACCCCAGTGGTGGTGAACCCATGGCACGGGTGCCAAAGGCGGCACTCAGAGCCCTCTCTGTGGGCATGCATGCCGTCGCCCCAGTCCTAGGCCTTCAGCTGGGTTTTATAAAACCTTTTCGCTTTAGGCCTCTGCCGCCATGTGCAAAAAAAAAAAAAGTTCAATCGATCAGTCAATTTCAACTTCTCGTGGGGAAAAAAAAAGATCTTGCAAAGTTTGAATTGATTGACAAACTTTTTAGTCCCACCCAGTCTGCCGTTACCACGGCAGCCACGCCCACTCAATTGGCCATGCCCAGCAAATGGGCCACACCCACCCGGCACTCGACGATGCATAAGTGGGTTTGGGGTTACAGTTTGGCCACTCAGTCTCTAAAAGGTTCGCCATCACTGGTATACCCTATTGTCCATCAGGGGATGGCAGGATGTGATGAGTAACAATTTTTAAATAGTTGCTATTGAAAAGCTACCTTGAATGTAAATTCTCAGTTTTTGATTGATTCTGAGCAAAATTAGATGTTATATAAAATTCCTTTTCTACCAAAGAGGTTGAATTATACAAATGGGAAAGTCCACAAATTCTGGTTATTATCATGCCTCTTGGGAGCTTTATGCTTCTTTATAGATTTGGTAAGGTCAAAGTTATGGTATGTATCATGTCACTGCATACATGATGCAAGTAAGTGATTTGCATAAGTTGTGTTACAATATCAATATAAATATGCAAGTTTGTGTCCCATGTGAAATGGCCTCATGACGTATGTCATTGTTGGCCACCACCATCTCTTTCCCCCTCTATAGATACCCATGAATTTATAGTATATCACTTTAGCTTTTATTTCTGCATTTTCAGATGGCCTGTAACATTGGGATCTCTCTTACTCCATTTATATTCACTGTACCCTACACATAGTCCTTGACTTACAACAGGTTGGTTAGCAACTGATTGAAGTTCTGACAGTCCTACTTGGTAGATACTTATGGCCTGGATTTTAAGTTTTGATGGTTGGGGGGGGGCTCACAGTCACATGACTGCATGTTTGTTGCTTGGCAACCAGGCCACATTTACAGCCATTTGCCACTTCCAGTAGTCATATGATTGTTTAATGTTTTTTTTTGCCAAAAACGGGCAATTATTCCCAGTTTTCAATAAAACCGCACCTATAGCAAATATTTATTTAACAACTGTGGTGATTTGTTTAACAACTGCTACAAAAAGGATTATAACCCCATTTTTGTTACAACCATCATAAGTTACAACCATTATGGGCAGACTCCATTACAGTAATAACCTGAGGACTACCTTTAGGTAGTTAAAGTGGTCACCAGAGGAATCTATTTAACTGAGGCCCTGTGGAAGAAAAAAAAAACATTATTTCTACTGATACACTCTTAGAGGACACAGGTTTTATTGCTTCTTTTTGTTTTCTGTAGGAAATGCAGGATCATATGTCTGACCCAGCAGCCCAGTCCTTTATGGAGAGGAACAACATGGAGGTATGGTCTTCTGCTCTCCTACTTTAACAGTTTTTTGGGAATTTCCTTAGGGATGGAAGAGTCATAATATGACAATGGATATTGTAGCCTCTTTGCTTGCTCAACTTCTTTGCAACAAAGAATTTTCCTAACCCAAAGATCTCCAGGTAGGTTTTGCTTGGCTAAATTCTCTGGTTTCTTCTTATCTTTTCCCCTGCAACATAACTTATGCATTCTTTCTCTAGAAACATGGCACTGTTTAATCATGGGTCTGACTTATTGCATTAGTTTCCCATGTTTTGAAACCACTGTGAAATCAGTTTGTTTCTATAAAGAGATTGAAAAGTCAGAAATGATCTATCCCACAATGGCTTTGGGCGTGCGGAGCCTCAGGATCTGAGGTTTTGTCATCTCTGGTTCTGGATGAGGTTGCACTTCTCCGTTCAGACCCGGTTTGTAACTTGGGGGTCCTCTCGGACTCGTGTCTCCTGCTCAAAGAGCAGGGGGTGGGTGAGACTAGGAGAGCTTTTGCACAACCCCGGTTTGAGCACCAGCTGCAACCTTTCCTGGGCCTTGACTCCCTGTGATCCATTATCCAAACCCTGATCATCTCTCCTCTGCACTATTGCGATGGCTCCACATGGGTCTACCCTTGACATCCATTTGGAAGCTTCAGCTGGTGCAAAGTGCAGCAGCGAGGGAAGTCTTTGGAGCCCGTAGGGCGGCTCATATTACATCTCTGCTCCACAAACTGCACTGGCCACTGGTCTGCTTTCAAGCGCAGTTCAAGGTGCTGTTTATGACCTTTAAAGCCCTTTATGGCCTCGGTCCAGGCTACCGAATGAACTGTCTCATCCCTACTTGGGCTGACAGAGAGGGCCTTTTGCGGATCCCATCAGTCAAAGAACTCCAGCTGTCAGAATCCAGATGAGCCTTCTCTGCTGCATAACCTGCCCTTTGGGGAAGATCTGGCCCCATCCTCCTCTCTTTCCTAAGACCCTAAAGACCTGGCTCTGCAAATTGGCCTGGGGACTCAACGGGGGAGTTCTGCTCTGGAGGTGGCTGCTAGATTGATAGCAGATGACACCTTCCCCCCCTCCCACTCATGGTTTTCCCAGTTGCAATGTATGGCTGTGAAAGTTGGACTATAAGAAAGGCTGAGCACCAAAGAATGGAGGCCTTTGAACTATAGTGCTGGAGAAGATTCCTGCGAGTCCCTTGGACTGCAAGGCGTTCAAACCGGTCAGTCCTAGAGAAGATCAACCCCGGCTGCTCTTTAGAAGGCCAGATCCTGAAGTTGAAACTCAATTATTTTGGCCACCTAATGAGAAGGAAGGACTCACTGGAGAAGGGCCTAATGCTGGGAAAGATTGAGGGCAATAGAAGAAGGGGACGACAGAGAATGAGATGGCTGGATGGAGTCACTGAAGCCGTAGGTGTGAACTTAAATGGACTCCAGAAGAGGGTAGAGGACAGGAAGACCTGGAGGAACGTTGTCCATGGGGTCACGATGGGTCGGACACGACTTCGCAATTAACAACAACATACTAATGTATTTTCTTTGTTTTCTTTTTCTTTGTTTATTGTTCTATTTTACTTTTACCTTACTTGAAACCTCCTTTTTATGTGTTTGTTTTTCATTGCTGTGAGCCGCCTAGAGTAGCCCACATGGCAAGATAAACAGCAAGTAAACTTAAGAATAATAATGTGCCAGTTGAAAAGGAAGCCGTTAATATTAATAGTATACTGATTATAAATGGAAGGTTTATATTGTGAGACTAGCACAACAGTCTTGAAAGGCCATGAATAACTGCATTAAATAAGTGTTAAAAGCCAAGGATTTTATTACCTGTAGCTTATTTTTAATTCAGCAAATGTTCTTTTCTACAGAAGTAGAGCTACTAAGTTCATTTTTCCACTCCATTCTATTTCACCATTGTCACTTAGATGTTTCACTGTTTTCCTTGAAGCAGTTAGAAACTTGACTTGCTCAGAGTTTTCTTTTTTCTCTCCTTTCTCTGGGGAAGCTGGCGGATGGCAGGGACCGCTGTGGGCTGTTGAGTGCAGAGAAGGTGTCAGCAGCTGATTCATATATTTTAGAAGAGCAGCAGTTGCACCAGAAGGTGAGAAGATGAACACCATCCCAATCAAGCTACTAATTTTCACAAATCAGCTTCGTTTCTACAGAGACTAAAGGGGATTACTACTTTTTATACTTGCAAGGGTAAAAATATTGCAGTTTTGTAGAGGTATGAGCTCTAATATAAACACTGCTTGTTGGCCTTCAACATCCATGCCATCTTGCTTGATTGCATCTCTTGACATTATTTTTCTCTTCCTGTCAAACAACTAATAGCAAAGTTCCTTGAATGAAAGTAACGATAATTTGAAATATTTTTTAAATTGGAGTTCTGGGTTCCAACCGTTGTACACTTGTATTTTTGAAATTTGCCCCAAAATTCTGGTGTTTCAGTACCAGAATTGGCTGCTTGCCTGTTTTCTTTATTTTTCTTCCAAACTGCTGCTTTAACATATTGAATAAATAGCAAGAGTCCCAGTCTTGTGATTGAACTAAGAAAGGTTAGTATATGTACCCATTTTTCAAGAGCCATTTGAAAAAGAAATTCAGTGGATGTAAGAAATGCTGTGGTTCAAGCCACTGGGTGAAGTACTATTGTAAACATTAATTCCTTCCCTTCCCCCCCCCCGAATTCTCTTTACGAAGATTTTTGCCTAAAAGGAAGAAAAAATTCTTATGGCGTTGGGTGCATCACATAGTTGTATTTTTGACAGGAGATCTCTCTGTTATTTGAGACCTCTGTAGATGTCGTTTCCCGTGGATGTTGCTGCTGTCATTTTTTTTTTCCTGTAAAAAATGCTCTGATGCCTTCTTTTCTCCATGATAGTTGATCATTGAGGAGCAGGATGAACAGCTGGAGCTGGTCTCTGGCAGCATTTCTGTACTGAAGCACATGTCGGGGCGGGTTGGAGAGGAACTTGAAGAACAAACTATGTGAGTCCAGATAGCAAAGGTGGGGTGGTGGAATCAATTGGATTTGCTTGGATCCCGTTTTCATGTGACATTGTCTAGCAGTGTTGGAACATTTGAAACAATTCATTCAGAACCGCAGAAAGCCCATATCTTGGTGAGTATAGATGGCAACAGAGGAGCCCTCGGTACCTACTCTTAAGCAGATCAGAGATCAGATTCTGGAATGATTGCTAATCTAGAATTAAGAATTCTTTTGAGTTCAACAATGGCTGAAGGTCCAACAATATGCAATCCTGGAATCCCATAATATAAGCAAGACCCAGAGGCAAGAGCTGTTATCCTCTCTTACCATCTTCTATCACCAGCAGAACATTCTACTGGTGGTTTTCAGCTTACAGTGCTGCATCTCATCTCATACACAAAAATGAGCAGATCAACTACGATTGATATTCCTATTGCCAGTAAGGGAGTTAAAAATAATTCTTGTCTCTTATAATATTGGGGATATTGGAGCCAAATCAGTTTGGGTACAGTTCCATCACTTAGATCCAAAATTCTGTTAGCAATAAAAAATATTCTGAAAATTCCCAGCAACAGAGCCAATTATTGTTAGCTGCTAACTTCATGCCTTGTGACCAAGTGGGAGGGGGGCAAGGTTCACAAGCTTTAAAGATGGGGCTGCTGCTTTAGAAACTACTGCCATGTGATGATGCATTTGCTGACTTTCTAGAATGCTAGAAGACTTTGCTCACGAGATGGACAGCACTCAGAGCGGCATAGATGGGGTGCTCAAAAAGATGGGCAGAGTCTCCCACATGGCCCGTGGTAAGAGGCAGGGCTTTATGGTTTATTTTGACCTGTCCATTTGCATAGAATAAAAGAGCTTCCACCTCATTCCAACTCACTGAGCTTTCCTTTCCACTGTAGAATGGTTTAATGAGCTGCTGAATCTCACCCTGTCTGATATTACTAGATCCCCAATTTTCCTGTTGTTTTCTTTTTCTATTGGAAATAGACAATTTGCTGCATTCCAGATGTTTTGGATAATTAATTCCAGTCAGTGTGAACAAGGGCCAGTGAATGTGATAATATCTGGACTTGCCTAGATGTGGTTTGTTTAGTTTGAGTGCAGCGAAAGTTTATAGAGATACTGGCTTTCATAAATTCACAACTCTTTAAGTACACTGACAAACACTGATTGATTTGGTTTGTATCCTACATTTTGATCAGTAACTCGAGATGGAGAGAGTGTTCTTCCAATAATTCTATGAAGTTTGGGCTGTGACTGTTCCAAGGTCAGATTCCCCCCCCCCCTCAGCAAATGAGCCAGTGATCATAACCTGGAATCAGCATTCATTCTGAGATATGTTTATCATCTTAGGCCTCTTGTCAAAGGAACGGCTGTAAGAAAAATGGATCACTATATGGATTCAGGAACAGGAAGAGATAAGGAACTAGGAGAGCATAATTGCATAAATCAATGACTGTTCCACTTAGGCCAGTATTGCATTTTGGTTTGTGCTGAACATTCTTTTATTCTCAGTTCAAATCCTGAATCAGTCACAGATAGCTTTTATTTATATTTTATTTTACAAATCAGGACTAAATTAATAATGGCAATTAGATGGGCATGCCGCTAGATATATACACAATCTTTGAGCTTTTATCCCTCTATATCTACCAAAATGTCTGTCCAGTAATATCCCTGATAATCTTGCTACGATACCTTAATTGCAGGTTAGCTCACCTGTCCCTCACTACATATGTTAATCAAGTAACCAAATTCCTTTGAATAGGATCATTTTTGCAGTTTAATGCCAGGATAGTAGTGTTTTCTCCTCCCCCCCCCCTTTCTGTTCAATCATGGTTGATTGTCAGAGACAATCCCTGCAGTTTTCTTGGCAAGGTTTTTCAGAAGTGGCTTGTCATTGCCTCCTTCCTACGACCAAGAGAAAGTAATAGGCCCAAGGCCGATCAACTGGTTTTACCTGAGGGGGAACTGAAACTCACAGTCTCCCAGTTTCTAACCTAATGCCTTAATCACTACTCTTGGTTTTCTTTGCTACATGCCTAATAACAAGCTGAAAAACTGCTAATGCCCCAAAACCCTCTTTTTCAATGGGAGTGTGTTTAATACTGAATTAGGGTCAAAAAATATGCAGACATTTGCATACGTAACCTATTGACATTTGTTTGTAAGGTTCAACGTGAATGCAGCTTCCCATGTATTATAAATCCGTTATAAGAGTACTCCCATTCCCCATTTTAGTGCTTAGCTCCAAACATCAGCCCCTTGGTAATGGATTATAATTTTCCAATTGGGTTGGCCTTCCTGCACTAAGACCATCTTTCTTTTTGTTCTTTCTCCATCAGGAAGACGTCAGTGGTGCATCATCTGCCTATTGGTCATCACTGGTGTGGTGATATTGATCCTTCTTTTTGCTCTGTGGCCAAGTGACAGATGAACATAGGGAAAATGGAAACGATACCAACCCCATTCCTTTCATGTGGAAAGCCTGAAGCCACCGTGGCTTTATGTCCTATGTGGGGGCGAGGGCTAGTGAAGACATGGGACAATGACAAGAATGTTGGATTCTAACTGAGCTTCCCTCCCTTGCATTCATACTATTATTTATTAGGAGCTACAGGTTTGCGACAAGGGAGGATTCTGCTTATTGGTACTTATCAACCCCATCAAGGTAGTCCAAACTAGGAAACCAAAATGATGAATGCTAATACTATTTTTATTCTAAAATTATATTAATACTTGCATGTCTGAAAGTACTTCCCCCTTCCCACCCATTCCCTGCCTTCACTTTCCAGAGAACTAGGGAGGGATAATCCTGAAGCCTTCTCAAATTATACTTCTGTTTTGGGCTCAGATTTTATTTATCAGACCATTGTCTAAACTGCAGCTCTTCTTTGTGCCTCACAAAGCTGTTTTCACAGCCCATTCCTGTACTTTAGAATGGGAACTTGTGTAGTGTCTTTTTCCTGCCATACTTGGGAAATAATTGGATTAAGAAATTGGATTTCTTAAATGTGATCATGCTGTACCCACTATGGGTCACCAACTTAGAAAAAATAAGCAAAAGTGTTTATTTTCTGTTTTAGTCTTAAAAGATCCAATTCCTTCATACCAACTCTGAATCTGTGTAACTTATCTCTGCATGAAATGTATTTGATGAAGCACAATTGACTTATACAGTTACCTATTTTCCAGTTGAACCAATCAAGAACGGTGGAAGAATTAAGATAGGGTAACAGTATGTCCTACTTGTTGAGTTGGTGAAATTACTAAGGGTTGAAGATGATCTAAAGCTATATTTCTATTTAAATGCTTAATGAAACCAAACACCAGCCCTCAATCCCCCATCCCTGTTAGCTGTTTTCTAAAAATTGGGAGACAAAAAACATTTGCCATTATGTAAATGTAGTCTACAGCACTGTGCATCAAGATGTAACTTATGGCGACACTTCTGGGCTAGGACAAAAAGTCTGACTTACCAATGTATCTGCTCTCTTTTCATCTTAAGCCTAGTAAAACATGGTGGACAGAGCATCTTAACATTGGCGAAGTGGATTTTGCCCTGAAAATAAAAAACTGGCTATTTTCAGGGAAGTCCCAGTGACCCAGTTTACTGTGAGCAATGTCTCTATGGGATACCTTGTTGTTACAGACACGCGGCTATTCCTTATATATATAAAATATTATAGAGCAGAGATTGGCAGACTTAACTTATAAGATCTACTGTATCTTTTAAAAATGAGGTTTACAAATCAGCTTGGTGCAAAGAATGCTGAACCTTGGAATTTAGAAAGATATTTACAGGGCTATTGTAGGGAGAAAAACTGTTTCTGGTTAGGTCAAGCTTTATATGGGTGAGGGGAAAGTTTTGGCTGCTGCTATTCTGAATTCTTGTGCTGCTGAAAACATCCAAATAATTGGATCTATCTTCTGCCTATCCCCTTTTAGAAAACAATGTTAAAAAACAGCTTTTTTAAAAAATAAATATTTTATACTTGTATGTAAAGCGCTTGTTTTGGACTATGTTATTGATGTGGGAGGGAATTGGCAGGATCCCTACACCTCTAAGAGAATGAACATTGTTTGGCTTTGTCTGATATAATCAGTTTCACATTGTCTTCAGCTTTATCTACAGCTTTATCTGCTGGATACAAAAGTGGTAAGAAAATGTTGACGAAAACACAGCTGACTATGGAGACTTGATTTAACCATCATAGCCAATTATCTGTAGATCCTCTGACGCTTTATTGTTAGACCATTCTGTAAGCTAATGTTAATATCATATGACTCAAGTCTCCACTGCTTTTTTACTGTAAGCCACCTAGAGGTTCAGCTATTGAATGCTTTAACATTTTTTAATAAATATTTTGCTTAGTAGCTACTCTGCTAGACCCCAACAGTGAAGAGAAGATAACAAATTAAAGAACATTTCTATTTAATCCCTATCACTTGCAGAAAGGGTGGGTAACCTGTGATTCTTCAGATGTTCCTTAACCTTAACCTGCAATGTCCCTTGTGTTAGCTATGCAACTGGGAGATGCAGTTGGGCATTCACCGATGGGCCACATGTTGACACCTACATAGCAATACAAACTTTTCAGATAGTTGCTTCTCATAGCCAAAGGTAGGATATTTTTCTTACACAACAGTGAACCAAAACACGTATACAGTAGTGGCCAACATTGTGGAAACCTTTTGAGAAAAGTGTATTTTTGAGGTTTGATGGCTAATAACACTTTTTTTGGATTATATATCAATGGAAAGATAATTTAATCAAGAATGTTATTCAACATAATTTGTTCAATTATCTGTACTGTATTCTATAAAAAGTTATAGCCAAATAACCAGAAAAAAGAAGCACAACTTGCTTAGGTTGATTTCAGGTAGCTTTCCTTCATCTGATTGTAGCCAATGAGCATGAGTGTTTAGAGAGCCAATCAGGTGTCATCTTGTTTTGGCAATGAGCCAATCAGATCACAGTAAGATTCAGTTATTGATGTCATGTATTGAAGCTGAGAGGAGGACATTTGTCAGTGTGTTATGTGATCACTATCAAGCTGGTGATTGCTATCGAGTTGGTTGGTTTTTTCCCCCTTTCATTTAGTGAGCTTGTAAAACGTGATAAAATTAAAGTAATGGTGCAAAGAGTTGACTGGCTGCCCAGAAGGCGATGTAAAATAATATTATTAAGTGAACAAGGCTACAGTTATAAAGAAATTAGAAGAAAAATTGGTGGAAACTTAACCAAAAGTGGCATTTCTACCGTACACTTTTCCCAAAAGGTTTCCACAATTTTGGCCACTACTGTATACTTGTAAATATATGCCAATTTTTCAGTGTGGCTTTCCACCAACTATGTACAAAACTCTAGATTTAGTTCCCATTTTCAGCAGAGTAACCATACCAAAGCAATCAGAATAACCAGGAAGAACCAGTTTGATCTATTGGTCAAACTCGCAATGTCACATGACATGTTGCGACGTATCGTGACTTTTTTTTCCCAATGCTGGCAATGGGGTGAGTGCGGTTTCGGCATGACGCACCCGGCACGCGGGCCAACAGCTTGACACCCCCGGGTTAAGGCATCAGGCTAGGAACTAGGGGAGCTTAAATTCCAGTTCTGTCTTCATTACAAAGCCAGGTGGGTGACTTTGGATCAGCCATTCTCTTCAGTCCTAGGAAGGCAAACCACTTCCCAAAAATCTTGCCAAGAAAACTGCAGGGACTAGTTCAGGCTATCACCAAAAGTCAAAAAAACTGACTTGAAGGTGTGCACGTGCATGCACGGACACACACCATGCATCATGTTTTGCAACACTTTTACAAAATAAAAGTTTGTAGGCAAGAAATGTTCCTGAAGACATACTTCTACAGATTTTGCTCAGTATATTGGCAGAGCAGATGGTTTAAGGCAGGGGTAGGCAACCTCGGCTCTTTTATGACTCATGGACTTCAACTCCCAGAATCAGCACAGCTGACTCAGGAATTCTGGGAGTTGAAGTCCATGAGTCATAAAAGAGCCAGGGTTGCCTACCCCTGGTTTAAGGACACCTTCCCATACTGTTTCAAAGAACCTTTCAGGTAGAGATTAGGGAAAAGCAGATGCTAAAAATTGTTCTTCCCCCCCCCCCATTTTACAGAGGGAGACCTCCACTGGATTATCACGTCCATATTAACAAATGTCGCATTTTTGACCTTAGAACTTGAAAAATACCATATAAAATAGTTAATGATTGTGTTAACTTTATTCCGTAGAGATACGATGGTCAGAAATAGGACTATCCAAAGCTTGAATTCATTATTATATAAATCCACTCTGTAACTTTTGGCCAAGCTATCCATGACATCTCAGAATAATAACGGACTTGATGAAAATCGCCAGGGACACAATTGTTACAAACTTTTTTTATTAACATTTCTGAATTCCTCTTTTTTTTTTAAATCTTTACAGTAGTTAATGTGCAATTCTTGATACTCTCAGGTCACAGGGATGAGGAGTCACAAAATTTTTCTTGGCACTTATAACACAGAACAAATACTGGCATTATCTGGAGGGGGGGGGGCAAAGGGGAAAATTCAGAGGTAAAAGCGTGGGGTGCTGAGGGACCCGGAATGGGCTGAGTGGGTGGGAAAAGGGAGGTCTGTCATTGTTATTTTGTATTTCAAAGGATCGATTCTCCTCTCTGGAAGGTTTTTATAAGGGGCAGGGAAGGGAGAGGTACTGATATATTGGAGTAGCTGCTTGCATTAACCCAAAGCGCCTGGAAGGGGGGAAAAAAGAGTCCATGCTGCATCTGCACAGAGGTTACATAATCAGGCTTTGTTAGTGCTTTCCGTATACATTTTTGTCCTTTTAAAAAAGATTTTGTTTGCTTTAGTTAAGAAAAAATGACAAATCAAATATCTATTACAGTCCTAGACCAGCGTATAAATGTCAAAAGTAAAAGTAAAAGATGACCAAAATGAATACAACGAAAGTCAGAAGGCCTCCCATCCCCTCTGGATTCTGCTCTTGCCATTGTTAACAGCATATCCAAGATGCAAATATGCCACTAGGAGAAATTCCTAAGTAGGTTGGAAAAAGGCTCAACAGAGAGGAGTCCAGCTGAGTTTTCCGAGATTTTCTGGGATTTAAATGTGGGCATCAGATTTTTCCTAAGTATGCCAAGTGGGTGAAGATACTTCCTGTTCCGGAAAGTAGGTGCTGAATGTCCTCCTGGCTACTTCAGCTGCCATCCGTGAGACCAGGCAGTGAATATGAATTGCAGCAAAGTGGATCTCTGCTGATTACAGACTACAGTCCCAAAGGCCCTTGGTCTGCCCAGACTTCAGAACTCCCCTCCCCTGTAACTCAGTTTTAGAAATTGAGCCTGGCAGTTCTGCCTTGGAAGACAGACCAGCTGACAACATTTGCAACATTTGGTTCTAAGGCAGTTAAGCCTCCTGGTGGGAAAAGCAAGCAATGTACAACTTTGTTCTTTTTCTCCTACAAGGTCGATCACACCTGCTGCCAATAAAATAAAGGGCCATCACATGTGAAACATGAATGGCAAGATACTATTCAAATTGTCTTCCAGTGTAAATAAAATTATGTTATGGTTATGCTCCACCAGAATTACTTCACCAGTTTATACACACCCCCTTGGCATCTATTCAAAAGCCCTAATGGACTCTGAAGTATGTAAACAAGAAAGGAATAGTGTCTATGCTCTTCTTTTTTCACTTGAAATTGGTGCCTTTCTTTTCTTAGAATAAGCCAGTCACCCTAAGAATCACAGCAAGAAATGGCTGCCTTTCCTCAGTAGGTGCCACTAATATTGCACAATCCCCCCCCCACCTTGCTCTCCCATCCGAAAAACTGGTCTTCGCTCTAAGATTAAAAAATGCCAAGGCTAATGTGCAATCTACACTTCTCTTGCTCTCTCACTCTCGGAACTCAAAACAGATTTCAGAGTTCTCCCAAAGTATAATGGTGAAAGTCAGTGCAAAATTTGTTGGTCAGAAGGAAGTGGGATAGAAAAGGTTGACCTATATTTCATTTTGTCAGGACGCTTCCTCAAAAACGTCATTTTCCTAAAGCAGATTCAGCTTTAATTCCCATTTTGTCACTTTGTCAGTTTCAAAGGCTGGGCTCACACCAATTTATTTATTTCATTTATAAGGCCACCCAAGTATAATAAGGTGACTAAGGACAGAGACATAAATTGCTGCCTCCTGAGTCACATCTTGAGTGCACCTTGCCCAGAACTGTCTTTCCCAATTCAAAGTTGAAGTACCAAGGACTGCAAAATGTTTGTTCTACCAGTGAGTGATGTGGTGATGCACATGATGCTACAAAACATATCAACAGCTCTATCTTGGGTAAAAGAACGAGAAGCAAGCATTCTAGATAAAGTAAATCAGCTGAACATTAAGTTCTGGATGCCTCTGAATATGTATTAGTTATACTTGCCCTGATTTGACAAATGTATGAATGTAATTTTATTTGCAATAATGGATTGCTCTGATCTTGGAGGCTTCATAAGCTTTTATGTTCTGTTGACAAGAGGCCAATGTAATTGCGGTGGGGGGTGGGGACATAGATCTAGGCCTCCTGTTCTTATTTTGCCCCCAGAACTGGTTTCATACCAGTGCAAGTTACTCTTACTCTTCATAATTTAAATGTTATTTCCAGTTTGGAGCCATGACAGATCAGATAATTATGATCTACCAAATACTAAATAAGATCCAAATCTTATTAACTCTTTCTATTTGACCTTTCCCAACATCATAGTTACTTTGGAGGCTAAGAAAAGTGGGAGGAAGCTCCGGACACTAGAAACCTCCTTCAGAAGAAGAGGTACCTAATGAATCTTTATGGATAAAATTGTATTCTTCATAAATTTCATTTCTTCAGTGTAAGACGGATAACTATGGTAAAAGCCCTGCCTGCTTTTCCTGCTGGTTAATTAATCAATCTGATCAATTGGCTCACAGGAAACAGCTGGTCTCTTGTCACTATTAGTAGCAAGAGGTCTATTGTCTACATACAGGGTTATTGAGAAAAGCCAATTGTTGAAAGGAGATTAATCTTCCCACTTCCTCTTACTTTATCAAAATTGAAAACTAATGATTTTATTACTAACGGCCGAGTAACTTGCTCATGATTACTGAGAAGGGGATGAATGCATGATGCACATTTATGTTGAATGAGTGCTTAGTTCACACTCAGCTGAACAAGTAAAGGTAACTTAAGAAAGCTTTTCACAGCCTGTGCAGTGGCTAGATTAAAGTGGAAATTGGAGAAGACCAATCTAACATTTTTATAAGGAAAAACTCTTACTGATTAGGGAGAATAAATTCTGTTCTGAGTCACACGGAGAAATACTGTTGTCATTGCAACTTTTTTTTTTTTGCTTTAAAAACCAATGTAGGGAGAAGAAATTTGGATTTCATTTCAATTTTACTCATAGTACTTTATCCACTGAAGACAATATGTTGTGGTAAAGTTAAAGTTATATTTACTGGTTCAACTAGAGATATCCCCAACTCAGAGTGCAATTTAAAGATTTAGTCTTCCAATTTTAGTTTGGAGGTCAAGATGGTAGAAAGAACTTTTATGCATTTAATGCATTTTTATGCAAAAAAGTCTGTGCCATTACAGTCTCTTAATTCCTCTGCATTTCCAAATAAAAAATGTTACATTATGTGGTTCTCGAAGGGAAGAGAACCTATCAGAAATACTGTGCCAAGGAGAACAGTAGAAAAAAAAGACAAAGGCATAGAATTTTAAGAGTCCACTGTGCAGCTTGACTGGAAGCATATAAACCACAGTTCAGGAATTTGAGTGGTACTTGTAGAAAATGGCAAGATTAGGATTAATGCAGACTTAGGAAAAAAACTGGCATGGTTTTTGTCTGGGGAAAAGTATCTTAGGAATTTACTACCACAGCTGTTTTATCTTAAGAGTTTGTTCATTAGAATCACATTCATGTTCATGAAAAAATAGCTGGTAAATATAATTGGTCAGCCTCTATATTACATGCATCAGCATGGGTGAGACATAGGCGCATGCATTAGATGATAATAGGAACTTGTGTGCATGCAACTGTTCTATATTAGTTGTTCTTTTATAAAAACTGTGACCTGGATATGTATCTCTGATATACTGAAATATTCATCCCTATAATTGTGAGGCAGGTGGGCATACTCCTCAACAATGCACATGCATTCTTGATTAGATACCTAGTTTTCTTTTTCTTGCAATCCAGCTAAACATACAATGTTTGTCCAATGCTCATATTCTTTCCATGATTTAAACAAGGCCAGTTTTCAAAAGTGACAGCTGATTAATTTTTCCCCAAAAACCATTTGAGAGTTGAGGTGGAGCCTATTATTATAATTCACACACACACACACACACACACACACACACACACACACACACAGTATACCAACAAATTTTTGAATCATTTACCTCCCTTTTAAACATCATCCATTACATACTTTTTTTCAACTAGAACATGATTAAAAATTATTGTAGTGTAAGAAAATAATGAGCTATACCCCTATTTGGTTTCTAGAAAATGATTTTTAAAAAGGTAACTTCTGTCTCTTCCATTTCTTCAGGAAAAATACTAATCAGAGGTGAAGTGAGTGGGGTTTGTTATACAACTGACCATAGTACCATAGAAGCACTGGGTAAATTGCATCCTAAGTAACAAACAAACCTCACCTGCATAAAATAAACTAGGAAGAGAGGACCTGGAAGAAAGTCAAAGCAGTGAAGTGTGAATTGGAGTTAATGTTGATAATTAAGTTTTGAGATCTTGGAAGAGCCACATTTTTTTTTTTATAGTAAAGTAAATGCTCACAGTATCACTGGATTTCTAAAACTAGCAGCACCTGAATTATAATTCTGAGAAAGACAGATGAAACAGAACTGCGGCATCTGCAAATTCACGAAAACTGTAATCTCTGGATTCCTTAGCGGAGTTACAAGAAGGAAATATGTTTAATACCTTAGGTTTATTAGGCAGATTTACCTACATTTAAGCTGGGATAATCACCTTTCTGAAAACATCTCCAATCAGCTGCAGTCTCCTGGATCGGCAGTCAAGGAATCCAGGTCCTCTGGCTGTTTCAGTTTATAATCTGACAATGATCTCCTTGCAATTCGAACATTACTTTCCACCTCTTTTAGATTCAGTACTCGTCTTTCTCTTTGCCTCCCCACCAGGGTTAGAAAATGTCCTGAACTTACCAAAGTCAGTAATGAACGAGATTGCCTATTCTAACCAAAAAAACCCAGCAACATGCCTTGAAGTACAAAGCAGCTATTTTCTGAGCAAAGTAGGACATGCACATGAAGTATATTAAAAGGGGAGAAAGCCACCCACATGACTTCTGAGGCAAGACTGGTACATTCACATTCACATTCACACAGATGGTAGGCGAATGTTCCATCAAGGTATGCAAAAAAGTTCTCATTATGCTCAGCCAGCAGCACTATTCACACTTATTTCCAGCTAAGTGGGCTCAGTATGGCGTTCTTAAGTGTTCTAGAGAATAGGAATATGTATCAACACAAGTGAAATTCATCTAGAATTGTATCAATTTATGAAATTATTTAGAAATGTGTTTCTCCCCAGTTACAAACATAAAATGTACCTAGGAATTCTCTGGAACTAGATGATGGCATGAAAATTGCCTCCCCTTGTCAACCAGGACCTGAATGTGTGTATCTCTGAAATAAGATCTAGGCTGATTTTGAGGTCTTTCCAGATAAAGAACATACACACGTATGTACAAATGTATGTATGCAAAGTAAATGTACATCCCCTTGGCTAAAACTGGTTGAATCTAAAATTTGAAACCCCTGCTGAAATACAACCAGTATAGTTAGGTGGTTTCATTATTTAAAAAAAAATTATAGCTTTCTTGTTTCTCTTTACAGACAGACAATGAGTGAGACTCCGCTGTAACTGTTGAGCTTTCTTTGGAAAAGGAAAACTTTTTCCAGACCAGTTTTGGTTTGGTTTACAGATAAATTCATAGGAGACATTATTGACACTGGTTAATACCTTCAGATACCAGTAAAATTGTCACTGGTCTAACAGGTTAGAACTTCAACTTTCAGAATGCTGGGCAGACTGGAATCCAGGATACTGTCATCCCATCCCGTCTTATTTGGAAGAATTTTAAATTGTGGGAGTTATTTTTAAAATGCTCGGTCTTTTGTAATCTTTTTTGGAGAAAAATGTAACATCATTCAGGCCCTGAATTTGTCTTCATAGAGAGACAAATCCTTCAAGATTTCCAATTCTAGGTTCCTTTATTAAATAGATCTCTCCCGACACTGCCCCCCCACCCCCAATGGCCTTTCCCAGTTGGGGAGAATGGTTTAATTGGTTCAAAGGATGGTTTAGAAAGTGTCTGGCCAACAACTATCATGAACACACAAAGGATTGTTTGGCACAGCTATCTTCCTGGAAGGAATAAAGCATTGCCATCAAGCATGACTACTTCAGTATCCAGGATTCCCAAGGAAGAGAGAGATTCTTTCAGTATGACTTATTACCTTAATCCTGTCAGCAGAAATATGAAAAGGCAGGAGAGAAGATTTCCGAAAATCCCTGGTTTGCCCACTTAACATATTTACTTTCCATCTCAAGATGGAATCCAACCAGCAGTCCTTTATTCTGGGTCAAACACCACTCAGGAGCCACGTTAATATGAAATTGGCCTTTAGTGGGGAAAAACAAAAGGTTTCATATTGTAGTTAGTTACTTTTTGGAGTTTTACAACCATTCAATAAAGATTCTTTCCAGCTATCTGGAGCTGGGGACTGGTTTGAAATATCCACACGTGCTGGTGTGAACATGTAGCACTGGTTGGATGAAGGAAGTGATGCTTTCTTCCTTGCCTTTGTCTCATCCATCAAAAACCGTTTTGTAAACTTGATGCTTGCCTATGGCAAGCTACCTGAAGTGGGAGAAAAGGCTGAGTAAGAATTTCTTATTCTGCTCCCTAATCCACAAGCATGTACTGGAGAGGAATGATCCTTTAGTGAAAAATATTTTAAAAGTGAATTCTAAAGATGTTTCCAGTTATGGCAGTAGTTAGACAGATAAATATGCCTGTTACTATTATCTCCTAGAGAAAGAGCCCTATGTAGACTGCATGGATTATATGTCCGATATTGCAAACTGCCTGAAAACAGAGTAACCTGCAGACACATTTTGTGTTAAAAGAAAGCGCTTCAGAGAAGAAACTGGCTTAGAAGAAACGAAGACTATGTTACAGGATAGTAGTAATTTCAGCACTAAGTTCAGTGTTTTCTGTGTTGGCTCTGAGCCAATAAAAACCCAACGAGCATAGTGTCCTACGTGATGAATTAATTCAGGAGATTAGAGTGGTCCGAATGACAGGACAGATCAGTGTGTGTCACAGTTGGAGAAAGTGCATAGGTTCAGAGGCATAAAAGCAGACATTAGTGTGCATGCATGCAAATATACTTAAGTTGTGAGGATACCAAGAAGGAAAGGAAAGGAAAGAATCTGTCTCCCTGCCTAAAACCTAAGTGTAGCAAAGCAAAAATGGAAGGGGAGGGGCAGAACTGGAACTGAGAAGAGCAACGGTGACAGCCCAAGAATGTTAGGATCAGTAATTTTCCTGCTCGTGTTTGTTGTAAGCCCAATATTTCCCCATTCTCCAGAAAGGAAAGACTTAGTAATGGTCAGTCCAAGTTACAGCCAAGTCACAGTTAATCTGGAGACAACAAACAATATGATGAAAGAACAGGTAGCGTTCTGGACATTACATTACTTCCTTAGTGTATTTGCAAGTGGATTTGGTTGTTTTTTTCCTCCCACTAAAATATTTTGTCAAAACAGTCGCGAAAGAAGGGGCTGGGAGAGGAGAAATGCCAGTTGGAACTGCCAGTGCAGTAGCAACAGCGGCAGCTGAGCTCAAACTACCTGTAGTGCCTGAGGAAGAACGGTCAATATTTAAGAACCTTTGTTTTAAAAAAGGAGATAGCACAATGCTTTCTTTCCCCTCGGCCAAAACAAAACAAAACAAACAAACAAACCAACAATAATAAAAAGAAAATGAGAAAAGGTGGAAAATGATTCTACAAAAAACAAAAAAAAAGAGAGAGATCAAATTAGGAAATTAAAAACCATTGCCTGGAAAAAGAGGTGGGCACACTTCATTGGAGGCCTTCGGCTGAGGTGCCTGCATCCCCATCATGGCTGCTGGTCTCAAAATTGTGCTCCACACCCATGATGTCGGGCTCCATTTTGCCACTGTCATTGATGAAGGTTGTGTAGGCGTCGCCTTCAGCCATCAGTAGTTTCAGTTTAGGCATCCAGCTCTTACGGACAACACGTCGTGCATTTGTGCACATATCAGCAGCAATTGCATTCATCTCACTCTCCTTGAAGTTTGGGGCAAAGTTCTGGCAATAAACTGGAGAAAGAAAATGAAAGCTACCTTAATCATGGTTGCTACAGCAGCAATTGGGAATGTTCCCATGGCTCTTAGCCTCTGTTTTAAACCTCAAGACCTACTCAAACTTGCAAAGACTCAGGGCCTAGTTTAAAACTTCAGCAGGACCTGGGAGAAAGGACTAATTTCAAACTTTTAAATCTGGCACTACATTTATCTGTGGTACATAAGCATTACAGATTTTGGTAACTCAGACTATATGCTAGGTAGATTTCCTAGGTATCCAACCTATCTTTCAAGTGGGAAGTACTAATTTGCTCCTATATTTTATTCGCTGTCCCATAAAAAATATTTTGAACAGACACTCACACTTCACAGCATGCAACACTCGGCTGTCGAGAGGTTTCCGGCTGGGGTCATTGGTGGAAGAACGGATTCCAGTGCCACAACTGTTGGCAAGGGTGTTCCTAGCAATAAGAAGGCAATTAAAATGTTATTACGCACTGTGCCTTGCTCTGCTTTTCTGCTAATGGCCAATTCTGTCCACTTGAATACTGTCTGTCTTTAGCTGACTCTCAGTCTTGTTCCTTGAGCCTAGCACTATACCTCCAGAGCAGAAAGGAACATTGGATGAGAAGGAAGAGTCACCTATACCCACATACTTATTTCTCCATAGCATAGAACAGTGGTGGCGAACCTATGGCACGTGTGCCAGAGGCAGCACTTAGAGCCCTCTCTGTGGGCATGCACACTATCACCCTAGCCCCACCTTCCCCCATGGTCCCCTCCTCACCAGCAGCCCCCCGGAGGAGAGTCACCCCTGGGCGCGGCCCATGCAGAGCAGTGCAGCCAAGGACATGGCAGCTGGGCAGCAGGGAAAGACTCCACCATCGCGCCCCCATGGCCACCATGGTGCTGTTGGGCCGCCTGGGCGATCGGCTGCAGCCGGCCATGGAGGCAGTGGGTGGCCCTGCGGGGGGGGAGGGGGGGAGGCGAGAGGGGCGGGGCGGTTTTTGGGCACTCGGTCTCTAAAAGGTTCACCATCACTGGCATAGAAGATCATTTACTCACCGGTCAAAAAAGGATGCTAGTAGCCGCCTGAGAAGTACTTTGTGCCGTGTCCCAGCACTAACATGGCAATTCATCAACTGTGCCCGAGTGATGTACACATTAGTTCCTGAACAGAAACAAAGCCTGTTGTGTACATTCAAACTGTGTACAGGCCAATATAACACCTTATCGAGCAACATATCGAAAGCTTTATGTAATGGACAAAAGATGCGGTTAAGGTGAGATTCATCCCATTTCTTGCTACTTCCAATACTGTGATGCCACACAGTGGTTTGGCAAACAGACCACTTCACTTGATAGCTTTGATCCAACCAAGTCAGCTACATATAGGACTTCTGTAGTATGGCACACGAACTGTTTGGGAATCATATCTGTGGCTACCAATTTTAGTGGCTTGCAGATATCCAGAGGACAAAGTCAAACCTGAGCAAGAGCTTTGAAATTCTAAACACTTAGAACTGCTTGCAAAAAGATTATTTTGTTGGACTGGAAGAAGCCTGTATTTTTGGAAACCCATTCCTTAAATCAAGTAGAGTAAAGCTTTTGGAATGAGTACAGAGGCAGGAGTTGCTAATATGACTAACTGAACTGGGGCACTACTTTTCCTACTCAGTGCTGGCCACCAATCAATAGGTGGGTGTCTCAGTCCCTTGTAGGACAACGGAAAGCCATAAAGACCGATTAACAATATGTCACATTCAGAAACTATACACATTAAAAAATAATGATGGAGTTCTTTACAAATCATTTTAACTGATGCCACTGAGCATATCTACAAGGATGAAATATTGATCTGCTCTGGATGAGCTACCCTCACAACTAATTGGACTCCAAGTCCATATTCCCATGTACAAATTACACCCATTTCAGTGGAAAAAAACCAGGCATAATTTTATCTTGCTATTCATTTTCCTCAGGTCTCTTTTCCATGGCTCAGTATTCTGACATATAGAAAGTGCCATAACAAGTACTGCTAATACTCTTTCCTTTAAAAAAAAAAATATTGGGAATTAAAGGCATCTTTAAATAATGTTAGCCCAAATTTTTGCCTCTGTTGTAACGTAGCAATCAGGACTGCTTTTCATTTAGACAAAAAAAATTAATCCCCCAAAGAACAGAATGATTTTTATGCAGGAGGCAAGCAAGATTTTTCCGATTTACTGAAATCAGTTTCAACCCTCAGTAGTCCTACCTATCACAAGTTCCAGTTTCTCAGCTGGATCACCCTCGTCATACAGCTTTGGATGGCATCGGTTTCCAATCTGATTGATGAGCTCTGCAGGCAGTGAAGCTAGGTCCTGTCGCACTCGTATCCGGTTACGAGACTCTGACTGCACCTGATCTGGCAGGGCTTCTACTTTTTCTGCTGGAAAAAGGGAAAAAAAAAAAAAAAAAAAGGGGGGGGGGAGAGGCAGGAGGAAAATTGGAGAAAGTGGTGAACGGATATGAAAGCCATTCTTCTCTTTGAAATGTTTAAACTCTGCAACTACATTTGCAGCTCACTCTTGAAGAGTACTCTTAAGCAAGTCATTTAAAGATCTCCTTGAACTCACAAACCACTGCATCCTTTTATATATATATATATATATATATATATATATATATATATATATATATATATATATATATATATATATATATATATATATATATAAAAATGGAATTGCAACAGCTACCTTTTCCTCTTCCAGGAGCAGAATGTCTTTTAAGAGCTTATGTTTCAGTCCTCTTTCCATAAAACATGGTAGTCTGGCTGTATTCCCTCATTATGTCAAGGAAGGCAAAGATGTGCAATGCTGACACGGTGGAGAAAATCCACTACCACTGGATTTGTTTATTCATCTCAAGCAGCGATTGTTATTCATTCTCCCCCTCCTCCATATTTATAGGGCACATTCTCAGAGTGTTTCACAAACTTTTCAGTACCAGGGAGTGTATGTTGAAAACCGGGAAGCGATCAGGCAGGCTGAAAAATTGCAGCTTTTCTACGGTGATTGGACCCCTCAATACTTATTTTATTCTTTATTTTTTAAAAACAAGTCATACCCTATTTTTTTCTCAGTGTAGCTATGAGTGCAATACTTTAAAGCTATCTACAAAAATAAAATAACAAAAAAAATAAAGGACATATGGTGCAGCAGCTGTGAAGCAAAAAGAACTTGTCAAAGGCTGAAACAAGGAAAGTTCTCAGTTGCCTCTTAACACAGATCACATGGAGTGCTTAAAGCACCTCAGAGGATGCAACCCCCAAATATTAAAAGTTAAAATAGAGAAAGACTTACTAGTTGTACAGATCAAGCTGGCCCAATCTCGGTAAAGTCTCTTGCGTCAACCCCCGAGGCTGGGCTACTTGGGCTATTGAGCCCTTTTAGGTAAAAAAAAGAGAGAACTGCTTGCATTTGGGCAGAATATGAACAAGCAAGTTGTAGATGGCCCAAATGTATACATGACAGAGGAATGCTAGCTCAGGCCTGTCAATAGATGACAAGAATATTCTGCACTATACTATTTCCAGTATTTCTGAATTTTCTTTGGAGGGCAGCATTGCTAGTTCTGTTTATAAGTCACCAAGGCAGAAGTGACAACTCTTCACTTTGCGAAGCTTAAACCTGTTGCTATGATTTCACTTTTCAGCATACATTTTTATTACTTGTATTTCAGAAGACCTCCCAATCCCTGAGCAGAGAAGTCATGAAAAGGTCCAGAAGACCCAAGTTCCCATCGTCACGGTCATAGCATTCTGGTTTGATATTCAAAGTTGCACTTGCCCCTGTCCCTTACTTGATGTGTTCAGGTGGAGGCTGACACAGCCCTCTGTTATGAATAATGGTTTCCTGCACTAAGCAAGAAGTTCACCTTGATGGCTTACCTTGTCCCTCCTGTTTTAATGCTATGAGCAAGAGAACAAAACTCACCCGCAGAAAAAAATATCTAGCAAAATACGGGCCATGAAGCTTGGCCTCAGAGTATGGACTCAAAGCCTTGGTTAGTCTGTTACTTTCAAATATACTTTCACTTTATAAATATTATTCATACCATTCCTCTAGGCTGACATCATTGTTAATATCTGGAGATTTATTTCTAATTATTCCTAGTCTAAAATCTTCCTTCACACTTCTCTCTCACATAAATAAAAACAAATCCACAAACAAACGCATATAAAATATATCAGAACACACCCACTTGTTTCATATTGATCAATTGCAATATGCACAAACATTCCCTCATGTCAGGAATCAAAAATAGCTGTGGATTCCCCCCCCCCTTTTGTTCTATTGTGTCCTATTCTTGGAAATTCCTTGGATATGTCCTTGCAGTTTTCTTGACAAACTTTTTCAGAAGTGGTTTGCCACTGCTTTCTTCCTAGGGCTAAGAGAAAGTGACTGGCCCAAAATCCACCCAACTGGTTTTGTGCCTAAGGCAGGATTAGAACTCACATTCTCCCAATTTCTAGCCTGGCACCTTAAACACTATACCAAACTGGCTCTCCAGCTGGATACCCACTACACATTTCTGCTGTCCATAGGACTCAAAGAGAAGTATAATCATGTCTCATTTTTTAAACAACAGAAGCGAACATATTCAACATGTATCGGCTTTGGCAATAAATGTAAAGTTAAGCAGACAATATGCAAAGCTGGGATTCAAAGATTCTGTTGTCTTGCTTACTATCCAACCTACAAGATCTCCCTTGCCTCTCATCTCTGTGAATATTCTGATCAAAACAGGGGTGGAGCACAATACATTCCCTTTCCTTTGTTTAAAGCAGTGTTTCTCAACCTTGACAATTTTAAGGTATGTGGACTTCAACTCCCAGAATTCCACAGCCAGTTGAAGTCCACATGCCTTAAAATTGTCAAGGTTGAGAAACACTGCTTTAAAGCAAGCAGAACACAGTCACAATGCTTTTTAACAGTCCACATGGGATACTCACCCGCCTGCCCTACATTCATCATGCTGTACATTGTGTACATGTTGCAAATTTGTCGGTACTGCTCATCGGAGCCTTCCTCGGGTGCATCTTCCTCCTCATCTTCTTCATTGTGATAGGAACTGGGGCTGTCACTGGTGTAGGCACTGGAGGTGCCAGGGCTTGTCTGATCCGAAGTACTGGGGCCGCTGACCACGCCTGCCCCTCCACCTCCCCCCGTTAGTGCTGCCTGTTGTTGCTGCTGCTGCTGCTGAGCCTGTTGCTGTTGTTGCTGCTGGACCTGTTGTTGTTGTTGTTGTTGTTGCACTTGCTGCTGAACCTGCCGGCTCCCCCCGCTCAACTCTTGCTGGGAGGAGATCTTGGCCATTTTGCGGCTGCCATTACTGCCGCCACTACTCCCTTCCTTCTGGCTGCTTTCCCACAGCCTCTTAACCACAAATGTGCATTGGACAGAGTCTGAGTCCTGTTGCTCTGTCTTTACACGAGAGACCAGGGGTAAGGGCGTATTGCCAGAAGGCCAGGTAGATGTCTGTGCCACAGGGCTCTGTGGCTCAGATGAAGGCGCCTCCTCAGTGTGCAGGCCTTGCGAGTCACAGCTGGGTGAGCTGACCTTCAGGAAGAACTCAGTCCCTTTTTCCATAATCTCCTGGATCTGCAGGAACCCTGCTGTGTACATGAGCAGAAACTGATCACCCACATTCATGCTTAGGCGGCCAGTGTAGCAGAAACTAAGGATCTGCTGAAAGGATTGAGGCTGCACAGCGGCAGGAAGCTCCACCACAGTGCTCTTGCTATTGTTGAAAAGGTCCCGGAAGTAACAACTGCTTGCAGCTAGCACAGCCCGGTGTGCCTTGAAAGCGTGGCCTTTCACCACCACTGAGACATCACAATATAGCCCCTGTAACCGCTGCTCATTCAGGCATTCCAAGATGCTATTACCAAAGTTGGGGATCTCCATCTGGAGAAATTGAGCCATCCTCTTCGTCTCCTCCTCACCCAGATAGGTACGCTGGAAAAGGAATAAGGAGCCAGAGAAGTTAAATGTGGAATGGACATGGAAAAAGAGCAAAGGAAGGAGACTGGGCTAAAGAGAGAGGTCAGCCATAAGTGGACAATTTTTTGGCAGCCTCAGGTCACGCTTTTTAAAAAAACAGCTGAAGGCTACAGTGGGCAAGGCCCTGAAGTGGTGATGTCATGCAAACAGAAGAAAGTAGGGTCTGATAGAGCATTTTTAAAAGGTGCTTTTAAATGTTTAAATCAATCTGACAGCTTATACCTTTTTCTTTGGTTTTCTGTTCTTCTTTCTTTCCATCTCCACAATTTGATACTTAGCTGCCAAATTTTGATAGTGTGATCTCCAGGGCCTCTGTAGACCACAAAAAAAGGGGTTCATAGGCCATATGAACCCTAGGACTACACCTTCCATTAGGAAGGTAGCAGAGATGAAGTAGTCCACGCAATCAACCATTTTACAAGCTCTCTCTAGAAATGGAAGCGTCAGCATTAGGTCTTAGTTCTTCCTCCAGTTTTCAATAATCAAAAGCACTAAGTCATTCCTTTAAAAACTTTGTGTATTGTATAAACCCAAACCTTTGACAAAATGTAATTAGGCCCTACTTTAACCAGACTCCTACCCACGGTTAGGCATCAGTTTACTTACCTTGTTCATATCCATAGAATTAATTTGAGATTAGCCTGCATTCCTAACCATTGGCAAAGAGGTGGGAAGTCTAGAGCAACTGTAAAATGAAGCTGTTATTTCTGTATCATAGCTCCTCCACCTGCCCTTCTGAATAAGCATGGGTGGATGGTGATAAAACAGGGAAGAGAAGAGAAATGGGGGAAGACCATGACACCTTTTCCCTTCTTACTGTAAAGAAGCAAACAAATTAGAAGGTGATAGGATATCAGCCAGTACAAAATGGGCTGAGATGCTATCAAAAGATGGCTGCAAACTATATAATTAAGGCCACTATCGATTCCATTGATCATCTGGTGCCAAAGCACTTAGTGTAAACCATTTAGCTTAATGAGCACCAGAATGAGGTACATTGAACAAACACAGCCAAAATAATTTCACCTTCAATTATACACAGACAATCTGCTTTATAAACTGTTTTGCTAGTGGTTTTTTTTTTCTTTTTACGACCCTGTAATGGGTCATCTGAGTGGAGCTGAGTGTTTACCAGCTGGCTGCCCTTCCTGATACCTAAGCAGAATTCACAGCAGATATTTTCTTTTTGCGCCCTGATAGAGAAACATTTGTCACTGGCTAGGATTGAACTCTCAACCTTCCGAGTGGGAGGTGAACGTCTTCACCTCTAGGCCACTGCACCACTATACTTTACTAGTAGCTTTTTTTGGTAACTTAATTTATTCTTCCTAAGACATTTTGACCTGAGGGAATTATTTAACAAATATTATAGCTAGCTAGCCAGCTACATTGGATTTGTCTGCAAGCATGAAATCTAAAATGGTTCCAATATTTGCCACATTTTGGGTACCTTTTAGACTTCCATGGCAATTAAGGCAACCAGAGATAATAGTATATGTAGTCCATTCTTGTTTTGTGATTTTCCCTTTTTTTATAGTGTTCTGATGTCATTTAAACAGAGAACAGCATGTGAAACTATAGAGTTTGAGTTTCTTTTTTTGATATTAATGAACACTGCAGGAGTTATGGAAAAAGGAAAGATTTAAGTGTAGCTTTTTAGTAATCTTAGTTAAAAACAATTCAAAGTGACAGCACTAGGATTGTGCTGAAGTAAATATGGCAGCTTTGCCACTGTAAAATAACTACGCATAATAAACAGGTTGTAATCCAGCAGCAATGGTGATCTGGAGAAAGGGAGAGGCTCTTATGAGCATTATCGATCTTCCCCGATAATAGCTCAGAGAACTGTAAATCATGGCACTGTCTTTTTAGGACAAACAATATGTGTGTCAGAGATAAGAGACACCATGAATGTAAATGAAAGCCTGAACTAAAAACAGACAAAACGGGTTTTTTTATTCCCACATACCATTCGCAACTGGAGGACAGATTAATGCTGGGTGGAATATTAAATATCAAAAAATTAATGGCGGTTGTTGTTGTCCGTTATTCTTTTACTAGAGAGACCCTCACTAGGGATACTACCTGCTCAAAAGTTTGCTTTTTAAATGTTCCTGCTGCAAATCATACATAGGAGAGAAATTATTCTGCAAGGAATGACAATGCAGCTGAGGACACAGAATAGGTACACAATGGGCTGTTGCTTTTAAAAATTCCCAATTCTACAAAAGGCTTGGGTGTGAAAACAGTGCTTTACAGTTATTTGAAGATGGTTGGAGCAGAACAATACAACGGGATAATCCTCCCCACAGAGAGTTTATTCAGAACTCTGGCACTGGAAGTGACTAAGATTTCTGCTCCATGTTCAGATATCACCAGGTAAATGCCTCCCTCTGCCCCCCAAAGCTTTAAAGCTGCTAGCAATCTTTGGTGGAAGATATAAAGAGGGAGAAAATAAAAATCGTTTAGGCAGCTTTTTACAAAGCAGTACTGAAACATCCTCAATATGAATTTGCAATGGAATAGACTATCAGTTGTTTTCAATGGAACATTTATCGGAATGGGACAAACATTCATACATTTTGAATGCTGAGCATTCAAACTCTTAAAAAATTCAGTTTTAATTTATTGCAGTAGAAGTTTCTGAGATGACAATTTGCTGAGGAACGCAGGACACCCACCAGAAGCATAAGCATATTCTACAAATAGAAGATTCTGACAAGCATTCGATAAACTTCTGGTCTTTATCCTTTTTTTTAACTTAATCAAGCATAGATAAAAATATCTAACAATAAACAAAGATATAAAGGCTGAGGACTACATAGGGGATGAAAGGCAAGGCTTCCATTCCAAAATTATCTTTGTACTACTTCTATGAAAGGAGAAGAATCTCAGAGGGAAGGAGGAAAATAGAGTATCATTTGTAGTATTAATTCAATCACCTAACAATGTTCTCAAAATGATGATCTTGATTCTAAACCCCAAATTGATGCCCTTGAAAACAAGAACTTCAGCTTCTAGGATTCCCAGCAACGGCCATGCTGGCTCTGGGTTGAAGTCTACACTTCCAGAAGGTACCAAATTGGGAAAAGTAGATCTATATACTATAGCAGTGTTTATTACACCAATAGCAACTATGAATCTTTCAAATTAAAAATTAAAATGTTTGCATAAGAACTTTACATCCCATGAAAACACATACCACTTTAAATCTGTCAATGATTAAAATACAAAGATTATTTCTACTACAGATGAAGCTACAATTTAGTTTCCTTCACAGGTCTGAAAGTAGACAGAATTTAAATATATTCTTTACATTTAGTTAAGCATCCTGTGTTACCAAGTGGTTAAATATGATATGTATCTACATATGATATTGGCCAAAGGAAAAAATATATTAAGACATCATTATAAGCAAAATTTAAAATATCGAAGTCACTATTTGAAGCAAAATGACTTCAGAACTACTATGTTTAAAGTGGGAACATTTTTAGTAGAAGAAAATATTGAGAAATGATTATGTATAACTTGAGAAATAAGCTAATTATATAGACAAATCTATTATTGCCATGTATTAAAGTGGAATGAATAATTTCAACAGTTGCAGTTTCTCTTATTTACTGCATTTCTCCCTATCCTTTCTTCCAGCCACCAGTATTACTTTCCTTTTCTTTTTTCTTTTCCATAGGCATCTAAACTCTTAGAATTTGACGTGGAAAAAGGGTTTGAGGGAGAAATTGATCATCTCTTTTTGGGCACTATAATTGGAAGTGTTTCATTTGGCTTAGAAGCCTTCCACTGTGAAAAGGCAATCATGATTATTAGTACATTACATTACAAATGATCCTTATTTACAGCCTATGTTGATCACTTTACACTTCAAAATATGCACATGGAAGGTGGAAAAACAGATTATATGTTATAAATTATTTTCTTGATCCTGGTTCCCTAACCCTGATCTTGTAAAAACCACTGCTCTCTCAGAGTCCTACTGAATCAGTACATATTTTGCTGTCTAAGAAGATACAGATAAAGGCTTTGACTTAAAAACAATGGCACAGTTTTTACCATAGACTGCTTGAAGTCTGAAGATAAATAACTTAGTTTCTCCATGAATCATATGCACAGCCATGTAAATAATGACACATGTGGGAATACATGGAGTGAACAGCCATCAATTATATAACATTAGAAGAGTTGCGATATTATTTAAAATTATGGGTATGCAAAACAGCTCAAATGCAAAATGCCCCATTTTGAGTTCCAACACTTTCAAATGAAAGAAGCGATTATTCTGCATTTAATACAATGGCTCTAGGCTCAAAATGGGGTGCTTTGAATTCAAGACAGTTTGTAATTCAAAAAACTTTGGGTGCCACTACTTTCCAAACGATATACAGGTAACAAGAACAGGTTCTTCAAGTAACTTGTGGCAGGAGCTTACTGCCTTTATCAAAGATACATTTTTTTAAAAAAATCTCAAGTATTCTATTTGGGGATCATCCCCAAATTACAGAATTTTCTACGGGAAGCAACAGTTTCTTCTTTCATCATTTTCATCCATTTCAGAAAAACTAGAAGAAACTATTTTAGAAGATATCAAGAGAAGAACTGGACTTTCTTTGTTTTTCCTGGAAGAAAGGTTAAATGGAAGATTTTTTTTTATAAGAAATTTTATTAGTTTTTCAATTTTACAGCCAAGTATTTAGGAAGCAGCGCGGTGGTAGGGTAGTCAATAGTTCAATAACAAAATCTTTCATACATATCTCATATTACATCATTAAAAGCTCCCTCTCTATTTCCCTTAATTATTGTATCAAATTCAAGTTAATACATTTCTAATTATAGCTCAGTCATTCAATACATTTGTCAATATAATTTTGTTTATACATATTCAAGTCGTTCTTAATTTTTTCCTAATTCCAATTACCGTATTCTAATTTGGCCTTTAATAACCATAATGTTTAAACTTCGGGTAACCCAAATTTCCCTAATTTCATTACAGAGTAGTTATGTCTAAAATACACATATTATTCAGATAGTTACATTTTCAAGAGTATATTCTATTTCTTGTCCTCTCATCATTTACTAATAAACTGTCTTTCATTGTCACAAACCCCTTTCCATATTACATTTCAAAACTATAATCTAATAGCTACTTTTCATTTGTTTTATAGGTCTAAATCCTGGATATTAGATCAATCAATATCTCTAAAAATCTCCTGTCCATTAGGTAAAATTTTAAGTTGTTCCATCATCAATCAGCGATAAGGAGAAAGAGGAACAGGGAAATCCAATTTTTGAATCTGACT